TTACATCTTATACAGATCTGTGGTAATTTCCAAGACATAGCGAAAAGTTCCTTAAGTCTTTGTAGAGTTCTCGTAGTTTATGCTACCTAAGAGAACAAAACTCTATATTCTTTATGATGCTTATTATTTATGGTTGCGATTCTAGGACTATTAAGATAGTCAAAAAGCACAAGCAAGAAATATTTTGCTTGGCTGTGCCCGAATAAAATAAAATTATGAATGAAGGTATTTTCAAAATTTTAATGAAGAGAGAGATGAAAAACGAACAGCAAGCAATAAAATTATAATAATTAATACACAATATTTATTTTAGACAATGAACATCAGAAATTTCAGAATAATAAAAATTATAACATATGGAAAAGAAAAAGCAAATGGGTAAAAATAAATTAATTAATTAATGCAGAAAAACTGAGTAAATTCCATAAACAACAGTAACTAAATTTATTACGTATAGTAACAGTACAAAGTCTATAATCCGGCCTCGTCGGGACATCGGCGATTCCGGATTAGGGGTTTTTCTGGATTATAGATCATCAATTTAAATCTGGTAAGACGGCATGCAGAAATTATTCAATTAAAGATATGAAATCGTAATTTATGAAATAAAGAACAATTATCATCTAAAGGGTATAAAAAATAAAAAACTTAATATTTATTTGTTTACTTTATTAAACATTTCTTTCAATGTAAGTTGTTTAAGATGCTTCCATAAAAAATTCAAAAAGTTTCTTTATTGTGTGTCATATACAGTGGACTTTCCAATGCCATACTTTTCGCAGAATTTTGAGACGGATAGGCCTTTATCCATTTTTTGCAGTAATTCCACATTTTGTTTAATGGACATCATCGAAACATGCTTTCGCTTTGTAGGATCCTTTGGCAGCTCCAGTATAATCGGAAACTCTTTTTGACATAATCGAAAGTTCAAGCTTTAATTTTTATAAAATTATTCTAACAGTCTGCAAAAAATAATAAGCCAGGATCCAATGAGAAGATTAAGGAACAGCGCAATCTGCAACATTAACTGAAATGCCTTAGATAGTTTTAGCCTAGCTTATACCGTCCGTTATACATTAAACGCGCATGCGTAAACGCATTGAGTTTACGCATGCGCATAAAGTTTGTAGCTTTGAGGTCCGGATTATAGATCATTCCGGATAATGGACGTCCGGATTACATACTTTGTACTGTATATAAATCCCACTTACATTATGAATGCGAAATATGAAAACACTCAAATAAATGGTATGCACAATCACCGAGAATTAAATCCATAAAGAAACCCCTAAAATTCCGTGGCTGTTGACCATTGGTTCTGAAATACACTCAACAGAGCAACTCTGCATTTTAAAATATTGAATGTTCATAATAGTGCAGAAAAGGGAGAGGCTAGCTGCATGCCCGCAAACTGCAAGTGGCCCTTGAAAATAAAGTTTGAATATTGCTGTCCGTGAACTTTCTAATTAATCTTATTTTCTTGCTCTTCAACAACAGTATATAAATGCACAGACATATAGTGCATATTTTATATTTCTGAGAGCAGCTGAAAACTGATTTCCATGAACTGTTGCTTCTAATGAATACACAGTAATCCCATCAAGAAGTGTTATGCAATTAAACTCATTAACCTGTGTATAAATTTATATTTTACAGAAATACATTCAAAACAATATTTGAATTTTTTTTTTGCGTTATCTCCACTTACTTGGTGTTATTCTATTTGCGAAACCATTTACGAAGATAATTTGAGTAAAATAAATGTACCTTTAAATAATTTTTGATTGATTTTTCTAAATCATATTCTTTTATATTCGCTAAAACTAGCGTACCTACAACTGGCTTTCGTTTGTACAAAATTTGGTCTCCAGAAAAATAAAAAGCAAGAAAACAACTCTGAGTTGTTTACTATTTTGATCAGTTGATATTAAAAGTTGAATCTAAATTTTAAAGTTTTAGTTATATAAGAAAAAAAAAATCTGAAAATTGACAAGAAACCTTTACGTACACTAAACAATCGCAAAATATTCAAATTTTGTTTTTTTTTTTTTACAAAAGAGTTCAGTATTTTGCTTATTAAAAGTCTTAATGAAAGTTTTATATTTTAGCTATATTCTGTTGTCATTTGCTGTTCTTATATATACAGCAAAAGAAATAATTATTCTATTTGGCATTTTATTTCAAGCAAAAATAACATCGGCTCCTTCCTTTCTTATTTTATAGATAATAGTTTACTTTCGCTTTTTAATCAGAAAGCAATGCTTTAATTGCTTCGACTTTGTAGAAATAAATTATTTAACTATGAATTCCAAACTTTTTGCTAAATATGAAATTAAGATTGGAATTTGTAATTTAAGAGTTAAATATTGCAGTACCACATAAGCATTACTTAATTTTACTCCAATAGCTCCGAGTAATCATCATGCAGAATCATCTACCTATGACTCCTTTATCAAACATTCCTTGATAACAAAAGCTCGGGAAACATGGTGACTTGACTTTTGCAAATTTCCGGATTGCCACATTCCGGAAACGAACACTTAACACAATATTAACCTTTATACTCTTAAAAACAAATACCGCTGTCAAACGATGCGATTATGTCAAAAAGAGAAAATCTAATTTTTGTTTCTAGATTGAAAAAATCGTGAAGTTATTTTCCTGAAACAGAACAACAGAAAAAATCGTGAAGTAATTTTCTGAAAGAGAACAACACACTTTTAATGCTGATGATATTCTTTAAGAACTATGATTATGACAAAGCACGCTAGGGCTATCTACTTAGGGTAAGTGACTTCGTGATGGTCTTTTAAAGGAAATCGATTCTATCCACGTAACACACGAAGAAAATCACGGTTTGGTTTATTTAATTACGGTAAAGTACTCGAGGGCTATCTGCTTAAGGAGAGGGGATGCCTTCGTGGAGGGTTTTCCAATGGAAATTGGCTCGTATACACGTTACACATGCGGAAAAGCACGAAACCTCCTATGCAGCCAGCCCGTTCGGCAAGAATTTCGAGCTCCGGACCGAACTACCAGTGTTCAGCTACTTTACCGTTCAGCTGGTGGAGGACAGCGAAGTTTACGGAAATACTTATACGGTCAAGCCGTTTGCCAGAATTATAATTCAATCGAACTATCAGAGTTTAGTGAACTGATAGAAAGAAAGAGAGAGATGGACAAACAATGAAACATAGAAAGGGAGACAAACAAGTATTTTCATGAAGGTATTAAGCGAAATGATTATATTTATGTTGCACATAAGAAACGAACGCCATGCAGTTAACGCTTGGTGGGTTCATGAACCTAGATTGAACTGTTAGCATCCAGTGGCTGCTATTCGGGGAGTAAGCGAACGAAGGTGCACAAATAAAACTGAGTCTTTAGACATTTCGGCTTTTCGGACGAGCGGTAAAGTCGCTGAACACAGGTAGTTAGTTCTGTCCGAGGTTCGAATCCTGCAAACGGGTTTGCTGCAAGGGCATTTTCGTAGCTTTCCCTATATGTAACGGGTACACGAGTCAAAGTTCATTAGGAAGTCCTCCATGAAGGCATCTCTCTAGGAAGATAGCCCTCGAGTGCTTTGCCTTAATCAAATAAACCAAAACTTCAGACATTTCAAAAGGCAAAAGCGTTCTACAGGTACTGTAGAAGCTAGGCCAGCAGCTCTCTAGTACCACAGGTGATAGAGGTATTGTTGAATCTAGCTAACTGTTAAGCTTCAGCTTCAATTCTGAGAAACCGTAGGGGCTGGTCAGAGGGTCTCTCCCATAAATATGTAATATTTATTGACTTCTATATAAAACTTTTATTTTCCGTACGTACAAATTCATTTTTATGTGCACACATATTTCTTTAATTATAAGTAACAGCGGTTTACTGCATCTAATTCAGTAAAATCTATATCCAATCAATTAAGATTCACGTTAACTTATTTAGGAAGTTTAAATATTTTCATCGATTTAAGCAACATGAAAAGATAATAAATACAATCTTCGATAAGTTTACGCAGAAACAATTATGGATGATATGCAAGCCTACCATTCTTTGTTTATACGCCATGAATTATTGTTTATCAATAGTAAGTGCTCATTTGTGAATTAAACATTAATTTTTTATTTCATAAAGGTGTCAGTCTGAGGGCATAAAGTGTGATATTTTCTGTTTGGTCTAAATTCATATACTGCTGAAAAGGAATAAGTATTGGAGAGTACTGAAAGGGGTTTGTCAAAAAGTATGTTCTTAATTTTGTTTTGAGAAATTAAACATTTTCCTTTTTAACTGCTTAGGAGTTTCTTTCCTTAAAAATACAAGAAACGAAAAAATAAGATTCACATACTTAAATTATATATATATATTTGAATTTTAAAGAAAAATAGTCTATTTAATTGGATTTTATTTATTTCCGGATAGGCTATTGTGTTAGTTAATTAGCATATTTAAGAGGTTCTACCATACTTACAGAGAAGAATTCACTTTATGAAAACAGCCAAGATGTTTCAATGAATATTTAGACTGAAAAGAACAATCATATGCAGAAATTATAGTACCAGTTATACATCATCTTAGTCTCTCTCACTGTTCTACTGAACGAGCAATAATTTATTTAAAATTTTATTCTGTATGATAAAATACAGGTTTTTTTTATCTATATAAAAACCTGCAAAGGACATCTACCCAATGTTCTAATAAATATCCAACGCATATCAGGGATTCTAGCTACAAAAATTTCAAAACCTTTTACCACGTTATTTACCCTTATTTGGAAAAGAGATCACTTTCTCATAACATGAAGACCTATCTTTTTACCTCGTAAAAATTCCAAAAATGTGCTTCAAGCTTTTATCACATATATGTAGGAGTATTATTGCTTAAAAGGGGTCATCTCCCTTCAGACTTCTCGTTTAAATTCAATAAAACAGACAGAAACGTGTTTAGCGTTAAAAAGTTGACAAGATGTTTTCCTCTTATTCTAAGAATCCGAAAGATATACTACTTACCCTTAAAAAGTTGTCATTGGCGAATCTGTGTACGAGAGCGCTCTTCCCGCACTTGCTGTCGCCCACCAGCACCACCTTACACTCCATCTGCACCTGAGGGGAATAAGAAATCAGTTTTAAAAGGCTATTAGGTCAGTTAGCAGTTAAAGGTTACAAAACTGAAAGTCTGCGAAAATCACTGCAAACATTTCGCTAGCCTAATTCATTTACTAATTTTAAGGAAGTTGCGATTACATAAAATATGACTTTTGACTGCGAGGAAAGTATACATTCACGCGAGGAAAGTATACATTCAAGGAAAATACAGCTTTGAAATTTCTATTTGAAATACCCCGCAGCAATAAAAAAGCACAATGACACGTGCTTTTGCAGAGTTATCGACTAGTTTCAAAAATTTACCGAAAATCCAATTCCTTCGTTTGCAAAATTACAAAAAGAAATTATAATAACCTGACTGCCCAAAACAGATATGTAAGTTCCAATTTATGTTAATAAATAAATCTATACGCTACAATGGCCGTAAAGTTTTTATGTTATTACAGTAAATGAAAAGTTCTTTTGTTTTCCATTCCATTTTCTTGACATATTGACATTAAAAAGCAAAAGTAAAGAATTTGATCAACAAAAGTATTCAGTACCTAGGTACACGTGCTTTTCAAAAAGTCTACTGCAAAAATGTCGATTATGTGACAGTTTATTGAGGAAATTACCCCCTGAGATCTCGAAAACTACAGCGCCCACCAGGAGCCAAGCGGTTAAGTCGCTAAGCACTGGTAGTTCAGTTCCGGGTTCGAGTCCAGGCGAACGGCTGGCTGCATGCGCGTTTTTCGTGGTTTTCCTCATCTGTAACGTGTATACCAGCTAGATTGCCTTAGAAAGTTCTCCACAAAGCCATCCCCCCTCTTAGGCAGATAGCCCTTGTTTACTTTGCAATAATCAAATAAAACTCGCATTCCAGTAAAAACATTAGCAAAGGTTCGAGTGCTCTCTTTTCTCCTTCTTCTGTCTATTATTACTTTTACATCTACGTTTAAAAATCCCAGACTCTCTTAATTCAAGTCATATTTTTAACTGAAGACTACGATTCAATCTTGGGTATCTGATGATCTTACATATGCAGCGTATTCGGATACAGGAAACTAATTGCCTTTTCAATAAAGCATTTACCCGCCGAATAGTTAAGGTCAATTTTCATAACTTTTTAAATATTTTTTCTTTCAAAACAGAACAGAAATAAGCCAGAGAGTTGTGTCTGGAGTAGATTTAGTGAAGAACTCAATCGATTTCGAAGGCAAACAGATAGAGGTTCATCTTCATCAGGAGCAAAGAAATCTGCAAGATTAGGAAAACCAGTCTTGTACATTTCTTTGCTCCTGATGAAAAGGGACCTGTACCTTTTTGTCCGCGAAATCGATTGAATTCCTGATTAAATCTGCTCAAGCACAAGGTTGATGTTTTCTATTCGTTTATCATCCAGTCAGATAGAAAATATAATTTATGAAGCGAAAAGACCCCATACGATTTTTTTCTAAAGACATCTGTTTTGAAAACACCCATATTTAGTTCACCAATATATTTGATAAATTCATAGATACTGCATATTTATAAATCTAATCTAGGAAGTATCATTAAGTAATTAATGGTACTGGTCCGAATATAAATTGGTTTGAAATATAAAACAATGTTGCATCTTATTAAAAGTTTTCCCATCTAAAACATTTGATTTTAAAAGTCTAGAAATAAAATTCAGAAGTGTACAATTCCTTTCGAAGTATGACAATTCCTTTCGGAGTTTCCTTTGATGTGCCCGATTATTAAATTTTCCCACCTAAGAATTTTCAAGTACTTGGTGCACATCTTTTAATGAAACACAATAAAGAGGAAATCTCTGTAAATTATTGCATTGCATTATTTAACTTCTTATACTCAGTTTTTTTTATTTAAATTAATAATACAATAATAAAATTTTTAGGTCGGACATTTCCAGTCTCGCTTCTCCCGCTAAATTAAAAATATCTTTGATAAATTTTAAAAATATTTTTAATCAGTATTTCTGTAAGTTTTACAGACTACTAAAATATTAAAATTTATTCCCAAGATTTTAAAAAGTATGCTGAAAATAAAACTGGACGAGAAATACTCAAATTCAGAATTTAAGATTAGGCAAGAAAAGCGACGTAGGCTTGGTGTAAATCTTTGAACAAAACTATCGATATACCTGATAATGGTCTCTTACAGTGAACTAATTATGTCTCATAAATCCAGCATCCAGTAGAGTCCAATTATAATATGTCTCATAAATCCAGTATAGGACATCATATAAATCACTGAAGGATAGTCAAGTGCTTCCAAGTCAAACCAACATTGATTTTATATGCGATGATGATAGCCTTGGCTTAAATTGAGAAAATACTGGTCTACTACCCTTAGAAGAATGGATCCGTCACGCTGCAGTTATTCATTTCGACTCACTAAGAGATGTTCAGGAAATACAGCATCAGTTGCATCTGTATGTTGTTCACAATGAGTTCCTATTAAGTAGGCCTTAATAAGTACCCTAATATACTGGACTTAACGCTGCATTAGATTTGATGTATATGGATTTCATATAAAATTTCTTTTGCAGCCCAAACAGTACAAATGAACAGAATTTCAAACTAATAAAATATGATCTCCAAAGCTTAATTTCATTTTTTTCAAACAACCCAAAAGATCCAACTTTTAATTCGATACGCTGCGCAAACTAGAAGATCTTATCAATCAGCGCATGGGCAACAACAAATAAATAACCATGTGATTTCGCACTTAAGTCTTGCTGATAAAGATTTACACAATATAAACATTCCAGAAGTTTCTTACTATATTCAAGACGTTTAAAACATTGCGTGCTATAGTATACTCAGCATGAAATGCCTTTATGTTCGCTTTTGAAATGATATTTCATAACTAGCGCTGCAGTCCTGATATTTTCACCACTCGGCCAAAACTAAGCTTAAAAATATTTATAAGCAATGCAGTCAGAACTTTTGCCACCATGGAAGATTGCAGAGTTTGCCACTTTGGGCGGTGCTTGAAATTGCCGCTCTCCTGGAAATACACGTTAACAGCTAAAAATGTGAAAATAGCATATAGGAGAATAAATTAAAACTGTGTATTAATTTTTACAGCAAAACTTTACTTCTAAAATTTTAAAATTGACTATTATTTTGCCTGATTTTTTGTTGGCAATATCATCGATAACACTGTAGACGTCTACTTCATTGTTACAGTTACCGTTAATTACAGACAGTAGAGAAAAATTTCTTTAATTTAAACTATACATCTGAAAGTCTTAAATATAAACACATCTGAAAATCTTAAGAAAATTTTCTCTACTTCGAACTTTGTTCTGAGAAGCGTATTTTAGAAGGAGGGGGGGGGGGGGAAATGCAAAAAAGTCAAAACGAACGCCCTTTATTTCCGTTTCGCTTTCCCCTACCAGTAACGGAAATAAATTTGAAATATTTCTCTCCTAACGACGAATTATTCCTAATTAAGTCTCTATTATCATAATTTACTTGATATTCACAAGTTTCAACAGAGTAAGGAAGGTATAACAAGGTAAGCTAGAATACTTATCTACAGTAAAAAAGCTTCTCTTCCCAATTTACTTCTATACGGCAATTCAGAATCACGTTATTTTTCATAAGCAGCTCTACGATCCAAATGACTAACCCCTAAAAAACAAAATAACTGCAGTCCCCCAAAAAATGTGCCGCCCAGGGCGGACCGCCCTCCTCTAACTACGTTACTGAAGCAGTGACTCAAAATTCTTTTAATAGCCATTGCTAAAAATATCTGAAGGAATTTGCACTTAAGAATACCATTAATTAATTAAAATAAATTACAAAAAGGCATTTCCGTTCATACTTATATGACATGGCATGCCATGCGTTAAAAATTACTGTCGTTTCTCGATTAACCGGGGTTTGTTATGTTACTGACCCCTGGGGGCGTATTAACTGGCCCTGTCAGGAAAGGTTTGTTTATTGCTGAACCACAGAAAAGTTATTACAAAATATCAACATAAAAACAGCCGTCTGCAAAAAATAGAAAAAAGAAAATTGCGTGGGTTATAACAGATGTGCAGATAATATCAGATGTCACAGTCATTTACAACTTTAGTTTCTTCATTTGTAATAATATTTATGCCTTCACTATTTACACTGTGTTCTTTCTTTGATTTGAATACTGATATAATTTACAAAGCCAAATCAACTTATTCTTGAGATTAAAATGCTAAATACAGTAAATCAGGGTTTCTTAAACTGTGCGTCGCCAAAAATTTTAGCAGTTTTGATATTTCTTTAATTTATTATAATAATTTTACAATTATCAAATATTTTTACACAATGTATCTGAAAATAGATAAAGATCCAGACAAAGAAAAAACGAAAACGTTTCGACGCATTCTTTTTATAATAAAAATGTTTAGTTTCTTTGCTTTGCACGTGACGCTGTCATTTCGTCTGTTACTTATTTATTTAAAATTTTCACATTGTTCTGTCTTAAAATTAGAAATTAGATTGACAGTTTCGCTCACGCGTGTGTCGGATTTGCGCAATACTTATGGGGTCCCACAAAACGTTTGTAAACATTATGCGTTCCTGGGGGGTCGCGAAAAAATCTTAGTAATAAAAGGGGGCCGCGACTGAGAAAAGTTTAAGAAACCTGCAGTAAATTATCAATAAACTATAGTAAATTTAGTTCTCATGTTAATTATAACATGGGTTATTCCGTTCGTTTTTTAATTGCCTTCGCAATAATGATTATTTTAAGTAAACCGCAGCAGCATCCTTAGCATTACCCAAATAAATCGGAAGTTGATTGTAAGCCGCAGCGAAATAAATCAAAATCTCAACATACAGTTGAACATTTACTAGCGGTAGGAGCGCTTCTGCCGCCAATAAATTTATCACCGAGTCAAATGTCTTCATTATTTTTCTTAACGTATTAGTTGAGAAATTCTAAAGATATCTTAGTCTTAAGAGGAAACATTTCTAAATATAACTAAAATATGCACATAGCAAATAGATAGACTGTCATCATAAAAA